TATATATATATATATATATATACATATGTATATATAGTTTTTTTTGATATTTTTCCCGTGTACATCAAACCTCATACACAACTCGCCTGTGCACAAAGACAACAGCATACGCATGAATTGCAAAGCATAGACGCCGCACAACACATTTCCTGTACGTTCACTCAAATACATCCAATGCACAACATGCAATACATACATGTTAACCACATACACGTACTATCAGCATACATACACGCACCACACGCGTGATCGAATACATTCAATGCATGCTACACATACATGTTAGCCATATACACGTACTATCAGCATACATACACACACATTCTAGCCTTATACACAAACTATCAGCATACATACACACACCACACGCGTTATGGCATAACCGCGTACATTCAACAGCCAGAAGAAGCTGCACGCTGAGCTCCCTCACGGTCATCAGTGACATCGGTTTGAAACTCCTGCCTGTCAGCACATCGAACAAACTGGGCCCGAGCATCTCAAAGACCATGCATATGTGCTTGCGATGCTCAAAGTGCTCCACCATGTGTATCACGTGCCTGTCACGCAATGCATGGATGTATAGAGAGATAGATACACATGAGATGGATGGATAGAGAGATGGATACACATGAGATGGATGGATAGAGAGATAGATACACATGAGATGGATGGATAGAGAGAGAGATACACATGAGATGGATGTATAGAGAGATAAATACACATGAGATGGATGGATAGAGATAGATACACATAAGATGGATGGATAAAGAGATAGATACACATGGGATGGATGTGTGGAGAGATAGATACGCATGAAATGGATGTATGGAGAGATATATACACATGAGATGGATGGGTAGAGAGATGAACGACCCACAATTCAACCAACCCCATAACACGGAAAGACACTAATGAAGACGAAGGAGATAGCAGGTACACAGGCATACGAGTGTACAGTGATATAGCTATACTACCCACACACAACCCCCAACTCAAAATAACTAATGAAGACGAAGGAGACAACAGGTATACGGATGTACAGTGATATAGCTATACCACCCACACACGACCCCCGATTCAAAATAATAACTAATGAAAACGAAGGAGGCAACAGGTACACAGAGGCATACGGGTGTACAGTTACATAGCTATACCACCCACACGACCCCCAATTCAACCACCCCCACACAGCCCGAATGTCCCATACTCTGCATTTGTCTTGTCGCACTTCTGCAGTTCCCGCAGAGCCTTGATCTCGAGAAAGGCCGCCTCGCGATACTTGGTAATGTTCTTGATGATCTTCACGGCCATGGTCCGATTGGTCTGTAAGTTTTTGCACGCCACAACGGTTGCGAAGGTGCCCTTTCCGAGCTCTTTGACTATGACATCTGTTTATAGGAAGGTGTGGGTGTGTTGGTAGGGTGTGGGTGTGGGTGTGGGTGTGGGGTAGGGGTGGGTGTGTCGGTAGGGCGTTTGGTAGCCCGAATAACATGTTATGTAATTATAAATGCTCGGGACACTGGACTCTAGACTCTAACCAACAATACCAACACGTTGAGCAAAGGCTGAATACGGACCGATAAATACTGGTGCATATTAAACACGGCACACCGATCAATGATCATACCAGACACACCGATTAATGGTCATACCAGACACATTGACTAGCTTGCAAGCCACATATGTCATGATATGGGGGAAATCGGCTCAAACAACGGCACTACATGCAGGAACACATTATCCGCATGACATCATCACACTGAAACTGCGATACTTCCAAGAGTATACACAGCCTATGCGCTTGTCCATGGCTAATTCAAAGCACCAGAGCTACTGTATGAAGATTGCACATGCCGTGTGCATAACATATGCAACAGTAACATGTAGCATACACTTCCCGTTGATGATCTCGTTGTTTTGGTGTCTGTAGTGTCCGTCTTCGTAGTCGTGCTTGCCGTCTTCATTACTGGCTACCGCCCTGTTTAACCGCGAGACAACGGTGCACTACTTCAGCGTGTATTCCACTGGCAGGCATACTTACTATGTATGCATGTATATTTGTTATGTATGCATGTGTATTTATTATATATGTATATATACTTATTATGTATGCTTGTATACTTACTATGTATGCATGTATATTTGTTATGTTTGAATGTATATTTATTATGTATGTATGTATGCTTACTATGTATGCATATATATTTGTTATATAAGCATGTATACTAATTATGTATGTATGCATGTATATTTAGAATGTATATATGTATACTTATTATGTAAGCATATATACTTACTATGTATGCATGTATCCATTTTATGTATGTATGTATATTTATTATGTATGCATGCGTACCTATTAAGTATGTATGTATACTTACTATGTATGCATGTATCATTGTTATGTATGTATGTATATATATTATGTATGCAGGTATACTTATTATGTATGTATGTATACTTACTATGTATGCATGTATATTTGTTATGTATGCATGTATATTTATTATGTATGCATGTTTATTTAATATGTATGCATGTATATTTATAATGAATGTATGTATACTTCCTATATTTGCATGTATATTTGTTATGTATGCACGTATATTTATTATGTATGTATGTATACCTACTATGTATGCATGTATATTTGTTATCTATGCATGTATCTTTATTATGTATGTATGTATACATACTGCGTGTGCATGTATATTTGTAATGTATGAATGTATATTTATTATGTATGTATGTATACTTCCTATGTATGCGTGTATATTTTTTATGCATGCATGTATATTTATTATGTATGTATGTGTACTTAATATGTATGCATGTATATTTGTTATGTTTGCATGTGTATTTATTATGTATGTATGTATACTTACTATATATGCATGTATATTTGTTATATAGGCATGTATACTAATTATGTATGTATGTATACTTAATATGTATGCATGTATACTTGCTATGTATGCATGTACATTTATTATGTATGCATGTATATTTATTATGTATGTATGTATACTTATTTTGTATGCATGTATACTTAATATGTATGCATGTACATTTGTTACATGTATGCATGAATATTTATGTATGTATGTACATTTATTATGTATGTATGTATGTATGTATACTTATTATGTATGCATATACTTACTATGTATGCATGTATCCTTGTTATGTATGTATGTATATTAATTATGTAAGCATGTATACTTATTATGTATGCATGTGTATTTGTTATGTATGCATGTATATTTATTATGTATGTATGTATACTAATTATGTATTCATGTATACTTACTATGTATGCATGTATATTTGTTATGTATGTATGTATATTTATTATGTAAGCATGTATACTTATTATTTATGCATGTGTATTTGTTATGTATGCCTGTATATTTATTATGTATGCATGTATACCTATTATGTATGTATGTATACTTACTATGTATGCATGTATATTTGTTATGTATGCATGTATATTTATTATGTATGCATGTTTATTTGTTATGTATGCATGTATATTTATTATGAATGTATGTATACTTACTATGTATGCATGTATATTTGTTATGTATGCATGTATATTTAATATGTATGTATGTATACTTACTATGTATGCATGTATATTTGTTATCTATGCATGTATCTTTATTTTGAATGTATGTATACATACTACGTATGCAAGTGTATTTGTAATGTATGAATGTATATTTATTATGTATGTATGTATACTTACTATGTATGCGTGTATCCTTGTTATGTATGGATGTATATTTATTATGTAATCATGTATACTTATTATGTATACATGTATATTTGTTATATATGCATGTATTTTTATTATGTATGTTTGTATAATTACTATGTATGCATGTATATTTGTTATGTATGCATGTATATTTACAATGTATGTTTGTATACATACTATGTATGCATATATATTTGTTATGTATGGTTGTATATTTATTATCTATGTATGTATACTTAATATGTATGCATGTATATTTATTATATATGCATGTATAATTATTATGTATGTATGTATACTTAATATGAATGCATGTATACTTGTTATGTATGCATGTATATTTATTATGTATGTATGTATACCCATTATGTATTCATGTATACTTACTATGTATGTATGTATATTTGTTATGTATGCATGTATATTTGTTATGTATGAATGTATATCTATTATGTATATATGTATACTTATTATGCATGCATATACTTGCTATGTATCCATGTATCCTTGATATGTATGCATATATATTTGTTATGTATGCATGTATATTTATTATGTATGTATGTACATATATTATGTATGTATGTATACTTATTATGTATGCATATACCTACTATGTATGCATGTATCCTTGTTATGTATGTATGTATATTTATTATGTATACATGTATACTTATTATGTATGCATGTATATTTGTTATGTATGCATGTACACTTACTATGTAGGCATGAATATTTGTTATACATGCATGTATATTTATTATGCATGTATGTATACTTAATATGTATGCATGTATATTTGTTATGTATGCATGTATAATTATTATGTATGTATGTATACTTATTATGTATGCATGTATATTTGTTATATATGCATGTATATTTATTATGTATGTATGTATTCTTATTATGTATGCATATATATTTGTTATGTATGCATGTATATTTATTATGTATGTATCTATACTTAATATGTATGCATGCATATTTGTTATGTATGTATGTATACTTACTATGTATGCATGTATATTTGTTATGTATGTATGTATATTTATTATGTAAGCATGTATACTTATTATGTATGCATGTGTATTTGTTATGTATGCCTGTATATTTATTATGTATGCATGTATACTTATTATGTATGTATACTTACTATGTATGCATGTATATTTGTTATGTATGCATGTATATTTATTATGTATGCATGTATATTTATTATGTATGTATGTATACTTATTATGTATACATGTATATTTGTTATGTATGCATGTATATTTATTATGTGTGTATGTATACTTATTACGTATGCATGTATATTTACTATGTATGCATGTATATTTATTATGTATGTATGTATGCCTATTATGTATGCATTTATATTTGTTATGTATGCATGTATATTTATTATTTATGTATGTATACTTATTATGTATGCATGTATATTTGTTATGTATGCATGTATTTTTGTTATGTATGCATCTACATTTATTATGTATGTATGTATACTTATTATGTATGCATGTATACTTACTATATATGCATGTATCCTTGTTATGTATGTATGTATATGT